TTAACTTACCTACCTAGTAATGTATATGCCCCGATGAGGGTAGACCCGATCCATGACACCTTAGTGAAGTCATTCTCCACGGTTCGATTCCCACATGGGTTCAATGTATTAAGCCCATTTCTGGTGTCCCGTGCCGTGATATTTCTGGGATATTGCTCAACGCGGCGTAAAACTAAACTCATTCACCTGAGTGAACTGCAGTCAGGATTTGAAGCGTTAATGACTGTGGTTGTCTGGAGACGTCACAATCAATAACGACCGCCTCCGTGGTGTAGTGGTAGGAGCGTCCGCCCGGAGAGCGGAAGGTCGCGGGTTCGATCCCCGACCGCGTCATACCAACAGACGTTGAAATATGGTACTTTGTTGGTCCCTGTCTGGCGCTCGGCATTAATGGGTACAACAAGGACTGGTCGACTCGGAGTCAGTATAATGTGTCTGAGTGGGGTATTCATGCTTCACTGCGGCATGGTATCTCAGTGGGCTAGCACTATAAAACCAGCTTCAGTCTGGGCTAGTACAAGCAGCCGCACATACACGTACACACGCATGTACGTCGTCATATGAGCGAAATATTCTCAAGTACGACGTTAAACCCACTTCACCTCACCCCACGTTGTCACGGTATTACTGCCCAGTGACACGTCCGTGAATAGCATGTAAAGGTGTTCTGGCATTCACGGTGATGTCATCCCACACCATTACTGACTCACCGCCACAACAATCATTCTGTTCTGACGTTAGCAGCATGAAAACGCTCATTCCGTCCACGCCACATCTGGTTGCGCCTGTCAAGGAGGTCCAAAGTGAACATTGATTCATGTGCAATCATATCTTTTACCCAACGACGATTGACCCAGCGCTGCCGGTCTTGACTTCTTGTAGTAATGTGACGGTCCGTCAATCGCGGGAGTAAGTGAGTGAGTTAAGTGTTACGCCGCACTCAGCGGATAACATGTCGAGTGTATGTGGGTTTCATCTGTGTAGCGAATTACAAATCACCTGTCCACTCTGACACCCATAACAGTTGAAATATTCGTGTGCGCCAGTTTTCGCCTTTGTCAACCAGATCGACGTCTGTCGTCATTATTTGTCTGTCGATCGTAACCTGTAAGTACTGACGTGACGAGTTGCTCGCACCCTTGCTCTGTCTCGTTGTTTTTTATTACCCAGAATGTACTCCAACACTCTTGTCACTTTTCACTTTAAAATGTCAAATTTTACCTCGACCATCACACACGTGCACATCATGACAAACAGCCGCATGAAATTCATAACACGTTGTGAATGGAATAAGTAATATTTTCTATCCATGTACTGTCATACGACTTGGTTTCGAAATAATATTTCAAAATGGAATATCCCCTACATTTTTAATATCTTATTTCTGGACTGAAACTATTACTTGATCTTGGTTTCAGTTATGTGTGTAATGAGTTGTCTTGTCCTTGTGTTATCGGAAGCAATGTTTCAACCGCTGTGAGCTGCCAGTGTACTAGTAACTGGCTATGCTAGCTAACGATATATTTTAAAGGGCTCTTCTGGGTGATTTTATACTCGTGTCTCCATCCTCGGCCATCACGCGTCGTATTTAGGATGATGAGTACAATTACTTCTAACTGGACAAAGACAAATACTCCCGTGCTATGTATATCAACGGAATGAGCAACTGTGCTTCATACAAGCTGGTGTAACTGTAGTGTTACTGAAAATAACATCATGTTGGGTCATTCGTGTGATTATCGTTTTATGGTAACAAATGCATTTCACCAATGCCATTCTTGGTCACAGGAGACGGCAACACGGCATTGTACAACCTAATTAATAATGTCTGTAACGCGAGTGACCACTATTTGTGCCGATGTGGGCGAGGCATCAGCGGTATATTTGAGGCACAAGATGGTTAAACCAGCGTGGGGGATGTTGCCATACACTGACTGCAATACAAAAGCGTTCTCGGATGGTTTTGATCCTGTCGTATGCATCCAATTGTCTCACTCTAGATTGTTTTCTATTGGGTAGAGTCCCGAGTGCGTTACAGCATGAGCAATGTGGGTGGTCAGTATCCACATTCAACTTGACGTTACACTCATCAATTTAAATCAGTGATAGAACATAGGTCTTGCTTGCTGGCTGTACCTATATACATGCAAGACCCAAACAAATCAGAACGCATCCCATGATGATTTGTTTATTGTTCATTAATGTTCTATGATTCCTTACCGATTTAAAAATGATGATCTGTATGTACCCAGTTAATTTTCGGGGTCGCCGTTCTCGTTCCAACGTGGGAATCAACAGATAGCAATAAATTCCCAAACGACAGAAGGTTGACAGTGAGAATAATTGTCCGAATAGATATTTTTATTCAAAATGCCATTACATCGTTTAAGCAAAACAGAATCTGTTTTCCCGGACATTCTATGGTGTTTGACGTCTTTTTATTTTACTGTATATACAGAAATGGACAATTAGCATGCATCTTAACGCTTGATGTTACCCCAAACAACTGCTCAAACAATTTCTGTTGTTTTGTTTGCTGTTTAACGCTATATTCCAGCTATATGACGGTATTCTGTAATGATTAAGATAAACAGCACGTCAGCGCTGTTGGGATACGATGACATAGAGATTTAGTTCGATAAGAAGTATAATATAACGGAACAAAAGGAAATACGTACATATTATGCTTCCATATTACTTCGTGAAAACTTACACTCATCCCTAAACATGTCCTAAACATGGTCCTCAACGGCTACTTGTATGTGGACGGTTCTTGGACAGTAAGATACAACTATATTGTCTATGTGTCATATTAAAATAGTTACATCCCTACTTGTATGAGGACGGTTCTTGGACAGTCAGATACAACTATATTGTCTATGTGTCATGTTAAAATAGTTACATAACTACTGGATATGTTTCTATACTGAATGTATGCTCAGAATACAATTTGTTGATTGGTTAATGTTTGACGCCTCACTCAGCAATATTACAGCTATATAGCGTCTGTCTGAAAACAATTGAGTCTGACCAGACAATCCAGTGATCAACAGCATGAGCACAGATCTACACAGTTAGGTGGGATATGAACCCATGTGGTCAACCAGGTCAGCGAGCCTGACCACCTAGAGTCGCCTGTTACGACAAGCATGGGCTGCTAAAGACACATTTTAACCAGGATCTCCACAGGTACCTCATATAGAATGTGCAATGAATAGTCAAACCTCCAGTATTAATTTATATAATTTTTATGCTGAACGTCAACACAACCTGCCATGACAAATGTGACAATATTCACAGCTGTGCATATCTATAAATAGAATACAAGTAGCAATTCATACAGAAACCGTTCGCGTATGCTCCTAGTTTAGGTCCAAAGCAAGGATTTGGACTTGAGAAATAGAGAATGGGCTCTTATTTTAATGATGTGAATACATGTCAGCTATGGCCTGATTTAGAAATGGACTTCAGCAACTCATGCTTGTCGTAAGAAGCGAATAACGGTAGAGGTTGTCGTAAGAAGCAAATAACGGTATAGGTTGTCGTAAGAAGCGAATAACGGGATAGGTTGTCAGGTTCGCTGACTTGGTTGATGCATGCTATCGTTTCCCAATTGCGTAGATCGATGCTCATGCTGTCAGTCACTGTATTGTCTGGTCCAGACTTGATTGTTTACATACCGCCGTCATAAAGCTGGAATATTGCTCTGTGCAATACAAACAGAACATGTTCAGTTTATAATTTTCATTAAATCTACTCATTGATGCATATAAAGTCTAACCTAAAACCTAATTGCAACGTTCCATGGTAAATTATCGCGAGAGACAAGCCAAGTACAAAAAATACAGACAATCACTGTCTTTTTTTAACACAAATTCCATCCATTTTAGCTGTAATAGGGGTACGCTGTTTTCGGAGCAATATAATTTCCAGAAGCCCTCGTTTTTTTTCAACTTCCATCTTTCGTCAGGCAGTTATTGAAGACCTAGGGCTTCTACTAATGATAATGCCCTGAAAAGCAGCGTTACCCCTATACAACTGAGCATTGTGTCACACTTTTCTTGATCTTCAGTCACAGAGTATGTTGTTTAAGTAGACACTTTGAAGGTTCTCTCAGAGTTCTCTTCTCTTCCTACACACCGTTATTGCTGCTGTTGATATAGAACTCAACAGGAAACATATACCTGAAACACAATATACAGGTGAACATACATTTACAAAAATATTCACATTATACATCCTGTTTTGATTTTTGACTAGATGATACATGTGTTCAAACACAAGCCATAAACTCACTCACTCACTCACTCACTACTGCTGAGGTAGTGTTTTAACATGTGTGTCAGATGGCCATCCCAAGATGAAGAAGTTACTAGAAGACCCTCAGCTGACACGCTATGATATTTGTATGCGACAAATACGTCTTTATGAATGAGATTTACTTATGTATAATTTCTCCAGAGTTGCCCTTGACATACTAATGTATTTGCTTGGCGCAGTCATGCATCAACCGTGGCTGTGACGGGTGATGACGTGATGCTTTACTCTTGTTCTGTCCCTGTTGTCTTGCAACGGGTATGCCGGATGAAGCACACCGATGATACAGAGTATGTGGTTAATAATTTCTCAGAATAAAATATTGTTTAAATGTTACATCTACCAACTAAACATTTATGGCATGTTTTGTTATAATAACATGTAGGTACAAGTGCTTAAACAGGTTATTTGCGACTTACCTGCAAAAATGAACGTATAATCGTACAACCCCGAGCTTTCGTAAATGCAACCTGAAAGCAATTCATCACCTGATTACCATGTATCTGTGCATTTATTTTAACATGACATTTCTGAAATGGATAACATTACTCCCTACAAGAATATAATGCACATTTGAAACCAAAAGGAAAACATATTTGTACAACGTATTCAAGTTAAGTTTGATAAATGAACTTCTGAAACAATGACTATTTCGTTTAAAGTTTGTTCACGAACGACGACACTCAATTACACACATATACGGTACAAATATTTGTGTCAAATTCCTTAATGTGTTTGTCAATATAGAACTTACTCGCGATGACAGGTCCAAGAAGGTATCCAACTCCACATGAGAAGTATACCACACCAAACCCAACAGCAACGGTCGCCAAACCCGCCAGTTCTATTGCGAAGGGACCCATTAATGAATTCGTGCCATGACTGTAAACCCCGTAAAAGAAACTAAAACCAAGTTGCCAGCGGTAGGTATCCGACATCAGAGGAAACAGAACTGTAATCACCCCAGTAATGCCAAGGAAACCCACTTGGAGCACTGAAAATTCCATGCTGGAATCGGAGGCCCAAAGTCCTATAATAAACCTTGCAACCACGCCCCCGGCACCCAATGCACTTAACAGATTTGAAGCTGCTGTTGGAGAACTTCCCATCACCTCTGCATAATTTGGTAAGTGGAATATGCACGCAGCGTCACCTAATGACCAGAAAATGATGGCTGTGTTATACAGAAGGAACGATTTGTTAGAAACACTCTTTAGAACAGTACATGTTGATTTGAGGCAACACGGTTTTGAGATTTCCTTTTCAATTGAAATGCTGGAACAGTTTGTTTTATGAAGAAAGGGAGTTTTTGTTAGCTGATCATCAGAATTTTCCAAGCATTGAGATGACACCACAGTTGTTCCGTTTTCAGTGCCTGAGTGCAGATTTCTCGGACAGAAAGCATCTTCCACCAATGCATCTATCTTCTTGACGGATTCGTCTTGAATGTTTTGCTCAATTTCAATAGTTCTGATGGACAGTGGTGGTTTACGTATGAGGGATGCTGCAACGCACATGTGAAATGCAATAGCACCAATGATGAGTAGTGTCCCATGCAGTTTGTACTCGTCCAGTAGATACCGTGCAAGGGGGCCAGCCACAAACAGACCCATACCTCCTCCTACCATGCACAATCCATAGGCAGCGGGTCTCTTCTTCTCAAAATATTGTCCAGGGATGACGCCGACGACATTGGCACCCAAACACAATCCAAACCCTGTTGATGAGAAACCAGCAATAAGCCATGGGACATATAACCGACATTACTTCACGAGAGAAAGATACCTTGAATATGAACATTGTGTGTGAACTGTGAATTGTATTTCAGTAATATCACAGAGTACTAGCTTAATGTTTCTGACTACCTTTGTCCTCGATATGAACGGTAGGTTGGAAACTTGCGTGAGTGAGTTTAGCTTTACGCCGCTGTTAGCAATATTGCAGCAATATCACGTCGGGGGACATCAGAAATGAGTTTTTCACAATGTACCCATGTGGGGAGTAGAAGTCTTCGACGGCGTCCCGTTTGTCAGACGGTTCCGAGGCTCGTATTTTCAAAGTATTGAACACATGAGGGGTTATTATTGCTCTCCTTCATTTGTAGTTCGGATGTGTGTATATCAGTGGAGGGAAGTTGAATGTTCGACGGATAATTGAGAGAGTGACTTTACTTGATAGTTTTCTTACCCGCCATTATTCCATACGTAAAGATCAGCCCTACGATTGTTTGACAAAACGATGCAATGGTCATCCCCAGGAGTGCCAGCGTTCCTCCGGCGAACGCCGTCAGTTTAGACCCAATTCGGTGTTGAACCATACCAGCTAATGGTCCTGAAGAGAATGAGTGAGTGATTTAGGGATCATGTCCAACAATGGTAAGTTCGTGACATGTGTTCTCCGCAGCTGTGAAAGTATTTCAACAAAACCATGACGTGTCTCCTTGATATGACCAAAACCATGAACACTACTCAAAAGTCTGTGTCTCACACCTCCAGCACAGAAGGATGTCCTTAAATTACAGCTGACACGCCGGGATTTATAACTGAAATACTGTTACTGCAAAACTAATTACAAACACAGCGTTGATCATCTGACTAAACAGACCCCGATGGACGTAAAAAGGTGAAGTTTATGTGAATAAATCAGGTTTTGGCGAAAAGGGTAAGCATATCACCGTCCGGCTTTCGCACATGTATAGAATGTATGATTTGTGTACCAGATACAACCTCACTCATTCTCACTATTCAGCAAATAGCATTTATAAAAGAACTGGTGAAATTAATTAACACAAGCTGTTTCTCCCACCGAGTAATGTGTAAGATCCAATTAGAGTTGAACCTATCCATGATGTTTCCGTGATGTCATTCTCCACCTCTTGCATGATGGCGATGTTGATGACTCCTGATGAAAAGGCAACCAGTCCTGCTAGAAGCTGAATAGAGACAGCTGCTGCCAGAGCTACCCAGGCGTACCCTTGGTCCACGTCCTTCCGAGTTGTCATCATCAGCTGTAGAACATAAAATATTTTCTTTAAAAACGGGCATGGTGGACAGTTGTAGCATGTTCCCAGGTTTTTACGCAACGGACAATCCAGTGATCAGCAGCATGAACATCGGCCTACGCAATTGTGTTAACCAAGTCAGCGAGCCTTACCACCCGATCCCGTTAGTTGCCTCTTACTGAATTCTAGCCCGACTCTTCACGTGTATTAGGCAGCAGAGAATCAAGCAGACTGGTAAAAGCAGAATCAATTGTACAACTGTGACAATACCATGTTGTTGTTATCATTTTTTTCACGCCTCATCTGCACAGATTATAGAACATTTTGCTCCCGTCCGGGATTCGAACCCAAACTCTCAGAGTGATACACCTAATCGTCAGTATATAAAGGCAGTGATCTATTAGTTATAGACAAAGTGAACTCCCAAATATATCATTATGCTGCATTAAATGATTTTGTCTACTGATTCCTCAATGTGTCACAAAGAATAACTTGCCGACATTACATCCCACAGAGTATCTATCTTTGCTATTTAAAACTGAGACAAAAATAATGTCTGATGCTATTTTCAGTTTTACCGGTACCATCCATGGCGTGTTCCTCTCTGGGCGAACAGTTGTCTTCCCGCGACATGTGTTTGGTAAACTATCACATCAATAGCAGGACGCGCTCATCATTTTGCCAACAGTTGGTATCATCACAATTTGACATTAATTAAATGAACACATGCTTCCGATGTTCCGAACAGCTCAATAGACTCCATCTTGAGCATTTTGTAGACAGTTATAGTCATTATAACTTAGCTATCATTTTATGCATATGTTGGTTATATATTCGACTGATATACTTCACAGCAAAAAATAACTTGGTTTCCGCAATGCGGAAACCTGGTGGAAAGTGGACTGAAACTTAAGTTTCCACCTAGAATCCAGTGAGTTTCCGTTCTTTTACATTGAGTTTCCGCAATAACGGAAAATTACAATTACCCACTTTCTAAGGGTTTCCGCAAGGTTTCCGTTACCCACACTCCAACAGGTTTCCACAAGGTATCCGTTACCCACATTCTGACAAGTTTCCGTTGAGTTTCAGTTAACTTTGTATCCATCAGGTTTCCGCAAGGTTTCAGTTATTAATAAGACTCCAACAGGTTTCCGCAGAGTTTCAGTTACCAGCTATTCGACATAGTTTCCACATAGTTTCAGTTACCGGTTTCAATTTCAGGTTCACAGGTTTTCATATGCGTTTCAAAGAGCCAAATTTAAACATTGTTCTTTACTCATATCATAAACTCTTGTTAAAAACAATATAAGCAATTTGTTATCATGACATTTACTTAAAGAAAAACAGAATATATAATAAGATTCATTGTTTTATTTTCTCAACATGAATATGAATTAGCATTTAAGGCAAATAAAGATCATACATATAACTAGTAATATAGCACTAAAAAACAGGGCAAAACATTTTGGCATAACTCAATCCAGTTTAAGAAATCATATATCATTTATAACAAAGTAGTAATTTTTCATCAGTTAAACTTTCATTCACTTATTATCTTGAAATAGCATGTTAGATATGAAATTTATTTCTAAAATCATGCTAATGGTGAAAAATAACATTAACATACAACTTAACACAGTAATAAAACATAGCTGCATCGGACATTTATTTGCACGCCTTGGCATTCAGCCACACACACTCTATGTCACAACTATCGCCAAACATCCACTATGATATACATCATACAATAACACAACATACAGCTTACAATACAAAAATAAAATAAAAATTACATTATGAAATTGAAAATAAATTCAATTGTATTGCAAGAGTTGGTCAGTTAGCCCAATAAGGGGCATCCCTGGGTGGAGATCCCTCCGGTTGATTGGATGCCTTATCCTCGTCCTCACGTTGGCCATGACGAGAGGAGTGGAGGTGTAAATTCTTTCCAAGTCCAGTGTCGTCGTGTATGCCCTAAGCTTGCTGGACTCCCAGACAAAGGGGACGGAATGCAACTAATTGACGTCATCTTCGTCACTCACGACTGGTGATGTCATGTCTATGGTGAGTGTTGTCGCTACCTTTTTCTTTCGTCTATCTGGCCAATCGATAGATGCAAGTCTTTTTTAGGCGTTGTGCAAGTTTCTGAAAATGGTAGGTAATAACGAATTACTAGGTTATTTTGATAAATTACACAAACATCAATCAACAAGAAACTGACAATGCCAAGGATGATTTAAAATGAGTAATCCAAAAGGAAGTTTGAATAAAAGAGAACTAAATTGAACAATCACACTTTGCACTAGTTTTCTCAAAACTCAAATTATGCAATTCATCACACTTCATTGTGTGTCCTCTTTAGAAAATAAGATATTTCATTCGGTCAATCTATACAAAATTTGCTCTGAAGTTACATGCTTCCCAGTCCAGAGGTAGTAATACGTTATATATATATATGAACATTTATTGCATTTTCTATATAGTAATAATGATACTAGTAATAGATTTTCATCAAATTGCTATATTCAATCTCTTACAGTTCGTATTGAGCCCATTTCTGGTGTCCCCCGCCGTGATGTTGCTGGATTATTGCTAAAAGCGGCGTAAAACCAAACTCAGTCAGTCAGTCGTATTGTTGAAGGCACAAGTATATTCACCTAGTAGTGACTGTATGTTTACACCATTAAGTCTTTGAGGTGTATGTAGAAGTGAATAATGCAAGACATGAATGTTTACGGATGTCAACGTCTTTATTATGTAAAAACATAATAAAGGAGTTGACATCCATAAACCTTGTCTCTACACTATTAATTGGAAATTATTTACTATTTATAATGAAAGTCACTACAGATAGGTCAAAATTACCTTCACATGTTACTGCTGACCATCCTTGATCATTTGTTATACAGTCTCCAGACTCATCATCAGATTTGCTGAAAAAAATAAACAATAACACGTTACTTTTCTTTGCATTTCCCCATTCATTCATTCGAGTTTTAAAAAAACCCTTAAACCTGCAGCGACATTTATACCAACAAGCAAACTACAGATTTATCACTTTAGGTTATGCAATCAGTAAGTGAACGGCCTGACATAAACATCCTGATGAATGAAGTTTAGTTATCTCATGTGACATAACCTTGGAGTAATTACGGTATTGTAAAATCAAGGGGTCACTTTGACTGCAATTTCACACAGGTGTTAAGATAAGATTTATTTGGTCCAATTTGAAATCATGATTAAGTTACCGGTTATTCAAATCCAATTGCAAATGTAACTTTAGTATGGTTCATTTTGTGAAAATGTATCTAGGGAAGCATAATAATAAAATATTCAAAGTGAAATTATGTCTATGTTTCGTAGTACCATAAACACATACCTTCAGTAAGAGAGGGTGATCTTTTCCTCCAGGAGTAGTCGTGACACATGTTTCCTCACAACAGCCTAAATGAATAAAACAAATCCATTAATATATAATCTATTTGCTATATTTTTCAAAATTGTAGTATATGTTTAGATAGACTTATTTTACTTCACCAACCTTAGTTCGAGCAAAACAGTTTATACAGTCATGGGACTTAAATATACGTCCATCGGCAAAATTCTCATAGACTTGCATGCTATTTTAGTGTAGCTGTGTAATTTTCATTAATTCAGTTTTCCATATTTGGTTGTCAAATTTTGCAGGTTGTTAGGAAATCATCTTGGTCACAGATACATAATTTTCCACATTGTAGTTACATGAGCAACATATATATACAACATTGCGTATTCTTTCCCCATAGACCGCCATGTTAAAAATTGCCATAACCATGACACGCACTGAAGTGAAAATAAAACGGAAATTATGTCTTTGTAGTTAAGACGATTCATGACCCATGTGCAAAATATGAACAATATCAAACGGATCTGAAATAAATTCAAGACATATTTCTAGCTGCACCAAATTAACATGTAAGTCGAATAATGCATAGTGACGAATACCTATGGCCAGTGGCTGTAATTCGATAGATTAGCTTGTTTACCAATCCAGATTTCTGTACGTAAAGTAAATAATTCATTAAACGTTATTTGACAACAAAATAAATTGGTCTTACCTGACAGGGTCGTGATACTGCGAGTTTTTCGCAGCCATTTCCATCTCTCTTTTCCAGGTAGCGAATTCTCTCTTCCAGTGCTTTGAGGGAAACTGAGGCGGCTATGAAAATGGCGTCTCGCAAAGACTCACGGGAAAAACACTTTGTTGTTGTTTTTTAATCTAAATCTAGCATTACAGTTTGACAATATCTTTCCGCGTTATACAACAAAATAAACATACACTATACACCTAAAATGTCAGCTGTGTGTTTTTATAATTATTTAGGTAGTCTCGCGTGGACGTGATCCGGTCGCCATTGTTTTATTCGTTTACATTGCCGACATCAAAGGTACTGTGAAAGGTGGAAATGAGCAGATTGAATGTGAGTACCCAAAGTGACAACAGTGGGCTGTTATGGGCTTAAGGGTCTTTTCATCGGATTATGGGCACTAATTGCTCCTCCTCAGTGTCAAGCATCAACATGTAGGCCTAGAGATAATTAACAGTGAATAAATCTGAAAACATATCCACATTACTTTAATAGTCCTGGGTGCCGTTCCACTAACCGATTTTAGGCCGATTGTAGCCGGTCCCGATCTTACGATCCGATCCAAGCTTAGATCGAGACTCTTTCGTCCGAGAGATAGAGGAATGGGAGGCACGAGTTATCTCCCTTTGCATAGTCTAGCAAATGATGGAAGTAGTTTACGAACCAACTGAATGAGTGAGTGAGTTTAGATTTACGCCGCACTCAGCAATAGTCCAGCTATATGGCGGCGCTCTGTAAATAATCTAACTTAGATGCATAGCGTTCACTAACATGAGCGTTCATGTTAGTGAACGCTATGTATATCTAGCTATAAATAATCGAGTCTGACCAGACAACCCAGTGATCAACAGCATGAGGATCGATCTGCGCAGTTGGGAA